CCACAGACACAGGAAAACTTATGAACAAAGTAGTTCACTAAAATTCTCAAAACAATATGTCAGTGGCAAGCCTTCTAACTGTTATTTTTCAAGAAATATTCATTTTCTGCAACTGCCTAAAAACTAAAATGTCCCATTTTCTTTAAGTATAAAATATTAGAAATATCATCAACTCTTTAGTAGCCTGCATGTCTTCAGATTAACTCTACAACCAAAACTTCTTCCTGTAAGTAGCCCCCAAAATAGTCTCTTTTTTTTTTTCTTTATTCCACAAAGTATCAGTCCAGGCTCTGAATACCCCTTTACTTTGAAATCTGACTTTTCCAAACAACAGATGCTGAGAAGTTTATTAGTCTTCTTCAATGCAAAAATATATATTACTTTCTTCTAGAAATTCCATTGCCTTGTGTAAAAGGATGACATTCCTTTCTGTGTTCACAAGGTTTGTTTTCAGGTGGACCTAAGTTCTCACATTTCTTCAATCTTTCTTATCTGAATGTTCTATTCTGTTCCAGTCCTCTCTATTGTACTGTCTTTTGTTCAGAGAATCCTTTATCTCCTTTTCTCAACTCACCAACATTAATCTGATTTTACCACCTACATTTTCAGTGGCATGCTTGTTCACATTCATTTGACAGGTATTTATCGTGTGTCTACTATTGTGTATCCTAGCACTGCAGATACAGCAGAGAATAAAAATAGACAACATTTCTACTTTCACATAGCTTATATTTTAGCTGGGAAAGGCACACAACAAATAAATAAATATATAATGTCTAGATGGTAATGGGTTATAAAGAAAACTTAAGCAGACTAAGAAGACACCCACTAAAGGTAGAACTATCTAGACAGCTTGATTAGAGAGGGCCCTTCTGATATGATGATATTTGAGTAGACGTCTGAATAAGGTGAGGGGGTAAAAGATGTAAAAATCTGATGTATCGTCCTAGGTAGAAGCCCAGGTATCAGCATCTTTAACAGAAGGAAAATTACTTAACTTCTATAAGCCTCAGTTTTCTTCTCTGTAAAATAGCAATGATGATAACATCACTGTTTTGGGGTTATTGTAAAAATTAGAGCTAATGTCTGTAAGAAAGTTTAAAAATTTAGGATACACCGACAATACTTTCTGAAAATTTAGGATACACCCATTATGCTTTCTGAAAACTGCCTAAAAAGCATTTCAGAGTTTATAGCAAATTAAGTAGTTTCTTAAACAGAAGTCTGAAAAACTGACAAATCTCTGAGTCCCAGTATTCTAATTTTCTGGATGTAAGATCTTGGGAAGCTTATATGATTTCTCCAAATGTGCATTTCTTTGTCTGTATAATGGGTTGTGTTAAGGCCGAGCACGGTGGCTCACGCCTGTAATCTCAGCACTTTGGGAGACTAAGGGAGGAGGATCACTTGAACCCAGGAATTCAAGACCAGCATGGGCAACATGGCAAGACCCCATCTCTACTAAAAATATAAAAAATTAGCCTGGCATGGTAGCGTGCATCTGTAGTCCCAGCTATCCAGAAGGCTGAGTTGGGGAAGACTACTTGACCTAAGGAGGTTGAGGCTGCCATGAGCAGTGATAACGCCACTGTACTCAGCCTGGACAACAATGTGACACACTGTCTCAAAAAAAAAAAAATAGGATTAAATAAGTTGATGTATGAAAAAGTCCTAGCACAATGTTTGACCTAAACAAATGTTGATTTCTTTTTCCACAGCTTTTTCTACATTTACTTAGGTAGGGTAGCACAATTTGTTCATATAATTTGATGCACAGAATTAAACATGTTACCTCTTATAGATTAAATATTTAAAGGTGATCCCGTATGGTCACAATGACCTTGAGGTTATTGGGGTATTGGGAGAAGGCAGAGAGGAGCAAGAAAATTAAGTCGTTGACCTGTGACCAACTGCTTCTACCACGTACTCCAAAAGTAGCCTTTTACAGAATTTTTCTCTATTAAAAACAAAAAAGTTTTTCCTCAAGAAAGTTTGTTTAAGTCAGGAGAGATTTATCGTTTTACCAAAAGTGGAGAAGTCCTTGAAAACACCCAAAGGTATCCTTACTAAAAAATTCCTCAAGAAGTTTGACCTTCCTAAACTCCCCAAATTCCTAATCCCTTAAAAAAATGGCCCCCAAAAGGGGAGGGGATGGCGAGGCCTCCTCCAAAAATTACTACATGTTCAACTGTCTGGCTGAATGCTAAAATAAAACATTTTTAAAATAAAAAATAAAAGTTATTGCATCCAATATTGATTAAAGGTAAAAAGACCAATGTGTTCAAAGTCAATTGAAGAAAACAAAGGGTGCAAACACAAGATAAAGTAGCATCACTTTGAGGAACTAGTTTAAACCAGAAAGCAAGCTTTAAAACAGAAAAGACAAAATACAATTCAAATGCTGGCTGAGTTCCAAATTTGGACATAAATCCTTTCACAGATGATATGCTAAAATGGGTTTGTTCATTCAGCAACTATTATGAAGAGCCTACTGCATGTCAGTTATCTCTCTGGGCACTGGGGAAGCAAAAGCAGACACAACAGACAAAACCCCTGCCCTTTGGGGCGTACACATGGATGTCAACAAGAGATGATACACAGGTGAGAGATACGGCAAGTCAGATGGTGATAAGTGCCATGGAAAAAAATAAAGCCAGAAAGTTGCATGAAATGCAGAGTCCACTCGGGAGGATTCCTTTTTTGTTTGTTTGTTTGGTTGGTTTTTTTTGAGACAGAGTCTTGCTCTGTCACCCAGGCTGGAGTGCAGTGGTGCGATCTTGGCTCACTGCAATCTCTGCCTCCCGGGTTCAAGTGATTCTCCTGCCTCAGCCTCCCGGGTTCAAGTGATTCTCCTAGCCTCAGCTAGGACTACTACAGGCATGCACCACCATGCCCAGCTATTTCTTGTATTTTTAGTAGGGACGGGGTTTCACCATGTTAGCCAAGCTGCTCTTGAACTCCTGACCTCAGGCAACCCACCTGCCTTGGCCTCCCAAAGTACTGGGATTACAGGTGTGAGCCACTGCGCCCAGCTGAGGGCTGCTATTTTTAAGAGTGGTCAGGGACGTCCTACCCAGTACATAGATGACTTTGGGGAAAGATGAGGAAGTGAGTCATGAAGGTATCAGGGAAAGGAGCACTCTAGGAAGAGAAAATAACAAATCCCTTGGAGGCAGGGATTTTCCTGGATTATCAAGCAAGTGCAAAGTGGGACATGTGGCTGGCATGAAGTGAGCCAGGGATCAGAGTAAGGGAAGAAGCCAAGAGGTATCTCAGAGGTCAGATCCAGTAGAGCCCGGGGGTCATTAAGAGCACTGTGGCCATCACTCTGTGCTGGAAAGCCACTGGCAGGTTTTGAGAAAGGGACAGAAATGAACTGATATTTAACCTCTACGGATTTGATGTCAGGGTGTATTGGAGTGAGGAGAAATGGACACAGGAAATGATGACAGCGGCTTGGACTACTGTCTTAAAACTGAGATTTTATCCTGAGAAAATTCCCTTTTCTAAGACAGGAGGGACCCTTAAGAAGTGGCTTATTTTGTGAGGTTGGGATGGAGATCAGTTTGAGAAGCCTGTTAGACATCCAAACAGCAATATCCAGTAAAATAAATAAATAAATAAATAAAAGTTAAATACACATGCCAGGAGTTGAGGGAAGTAGTCCTGGCTGGAAAGAAAAAAATAGGGATTTTTCAGAATATAGACAGTATGTAAAGCCTGAGAGATGAGGTGAACCTAGAAAGCGAGTGTAGAGAAAGACACCTACGCTTCCCTGGGTTCAAGAAGATGAGATACAGGCTGGGTGTGGTAACTCACACCTGTAATCCCAACACCTTGGGAGGCCAAGGTGGGAGGATTGCTTGAGTCCAGGAGTTCCAGACCAGCCTAGGCAACACAGCAAGACCCCGTCTTCATTTAAAAAAAAAAGTTTTTTAAGTTTTTTAAAAAAAGATGAGACACAGCTAGCAAAGGAGTGGAGCAAGAGCCGCTGGTAAGGGAGGAAGACAACCAGAGCCATGTGAAAGAAATCGTTTAAAGAGAAGAGAGTGATCCCCTATGAGGAAAATAAAATGCTGCTTCTACGTCAATCAAGATGAGGGCTGAGTCATCATATAGAGACAGCAATAAAAAAAAATCAAATAAAAGATGAGGGCTGAGGACTGACCATTAGGTTTAGCATCATGGAGGTCCTTGATTTTAGGAAGAGAGCATCAGTAGAGCAGGAAAGGAAAGAAGGAGGGGTGGAAAGCTTAGGATATCAGATACAGACAACCCTTTGAGAGGCTCTGTTCTAAAATGGACTGAAAAATGGCTAGGTACAGTGGGGCACCCCTGTAGTCCTAGCTACGCTGGTGACTGAGGTGGGAGGATCCCTTGAGCCCAGGAGTTCAAGACCAACCAGGGCAACATAGTGAGAGCTAGTCTCAAAAATTAAAAATAATAAAAAAAAATGGATTGAGAAATGGAGAGGCTGCAGGAGAAGTGGGGTGAAGAGAGATAAGAGAAATTACAGCAGAGAAAGGGAGCATTTGATGATAAGGAAAAGGACGAAGCAACTGCTGAAGTGGCATCCAGTGTCAGGCTCCAGAGGAGTGATGGGCTCTCTGACCAAGAGGAGGGGCTGATCTCAGAGACGGTGAGGCGAGAACAACCATGGTAACAGCAGGACGCAAAAGCACTGGCACAGAGGCAAGTAAGAGGCTGAATGTGGAAAGAAAGTCAACTCTCAACGTGTTAGACCAGTTAATGCTGCTGGTCTCTCTGAGAGGTAACTATGGAAATCTATAATAAGCCAAAGCAGCTGCACCCACAGCTGATGTGAACCTGGAAGATACAGCCATGTGAGAGGACCACGTCATTATTATGGAAGGGGTTCTTAGAATTGCCACCCAAGTAGATTCTGTCCGAGATGGGAAGAGAAAGGGAGGAAAGGGAGTGGAGAAGGCCACACACAATCTTAAATTCAATATTTCACTCCCGTTAAAGATAAGCTGTTTATAAGCTCCAGTGTAGGGCATGTAATTCTATGTAAAAACTCTGTGGTTCCTCTTTCCACATGTAAATCATGATCATTCTACATTCTGCTCTCTGGGAGCCCTCAAGGCAAAGAGACAACACGGCTCGAGGTATAGTAATAAAAGTCTGGGTACTATAAAATCCACCCTGAGCTCCAAGAAAAGAATAGAAAGAAGGAAGCTCTGAAAAGTACTAATTTACCAAAGTACAATGCAGTTTTGTAAATTTTTATTAACATCCTCAGAAATGAAAATGTCCACCTTGATACCTGAGGGGTTTTTTCCCTCAATTATGGCTATATATACTTTAAAGATAAACTATGAATTCTCTTTAAACTAAGTGCCTTGATAAAATAATGAGTATTAAATACATTTCAGACCACAGAAAGGACTTATCACAAGTCTTTGTGGTAGCTGAGGAGTGCCCCCTACAGACTGATATGCACAATGCAAGCAGATGAAGAGGAAAGAATTGAGCAGCAGTGTTTCAGGATTCTCAATAAGGCATCAATGAAAAAAGGTAAGAAACCTTTGCTGAACAAAATGTGACACTAAAGGCTAGGAAATATATGGACACTATGAATTCTTGTTTTCACATATTTGTAAACAGCAAGAAATGAAAAACCTTTGGACTTTTCTTCTATTTGACTCTCACCACCTATTGCCTGCAACTAAAGAAAACACAATGTATTAGTAAAGTCTGTTTTGTTCTTTGGTTACTTCATATCAATATTTGAATACAAATGAAAATAGTAAAAAGGCATTTTATTCTGCTGTGCAAAAACAACTACCTGGATTCAGAAATTATTGACATTAGATGTTAGCAACAAAAATAAAATGTAACATATCTATTAAAATGAAGTTAAATGAATTCTAGTTTGAGGTTTTATATTCCTTTTTGTAAAGACTCCACAGAGAAGTATTTGCCTTCTATGAATTTTATCACTTAAAACGTTAATGATTTTCAAACTAAAACTCACAAAAAGTCATGAAAAACATATCCTATGGTTAGCAATAGATTTAAAAACATATAAATCTATATATAAATGTCCAAATGTATTATTACACTAATATTCAATATTACACACTGTATAGAATATATTACAATAATATTTGAGAGGCATAAAATTATATAGTATATAACCTTATCATAGTTAATAAATTTCATATATAACAATATACTCCAGTTTAATTTTCCATTTGTGAGAGAAAGGAGACAAAATATATACCAAAACCTTTAAAATTTTTATTAAAGATTTTTAAAAACTAATACTGGTGCAATTTAAATGTACCAATATGTTTGATGTCTTTAAGTTAAACTCAGAATTGTATAAAACCTTACCAATGGACAGAATAGTATTTATCCAAATTAACAGCCTTTTATATGATCTTTGAATAAATGTAGATCTTTGGAAAACTGCATTTAACATCATAAAATGTTCATTTAGACTCAATTTCATGTACACTCAGGAGATATACATAAATGTATGTGATTAAATTGATAAATTATACTTCCAAGCATTTTCATAAAGAATGTTTTTCACACTCAGAAAGAGGCAATTAGGGTCATGTTTTGATGGCTTCTTTTTCTTATGGAATTTAATAAGATATAATCAAATATTTATATATTGCTTCTTCTAAAATTTTTTAAATTGCATAATAATGAAATTAGAAAATATATTCTTTCCTGTAGATAATAAAAGCCAGTGTACTTACAAAAAACTGTTTGATGTATTAATCTTCCTAAGTGTTCTGCTTATTGACCTAATAATCACAATTGTCTCTTCTTTCCCTGTTCTAATAATATATACATGATGCATTCAGATGTTAAAATGCAGTACTTGTGGAAATGTTAGTTAAAAAATATTAACATATAGGCCCCCAAAATGTGCAGTTCTTTCGAATTAATGAAACTGTTTTTACATGTAATTAACCTCTTGAATGCACTCACTCTCATTATAGAATCCTTGCCAAAATGCAGTATTGCATTTTGGAAGGAAGGAAGAGGAAGGGAAGGGGAGGGGATGGGAGAGGAGCAGAAAGAAGGAAGAGAGAAAGAGGAAGACAGAGGGAAGGAACTAGGCAAGTCAGCCAACTGATTTAGGTAAATGAATCAACATTTATAAACGTGCACATTGTAAAATTAACAATTTTCAGAAGGAATTAATTTACAAGAATCACTTTGATTCCAAAATAAATGTTATTATTCCTAGATAACAAATATGAATAAAAAATCAAATGCCTTAAATATTATACAATGTCGATTATACAGTCTTATCTTGTGGAAATGTACAAAAGTACAATTAAGATAATTTTGAATAAACTTTTATTCAAATTGAAAACACAATTTTATGTTGCATATACTCCTTTGGCGTTTAGAAGATATCATAAATTCAGTTACTTCCTCATGCCCCAGAAAATGCGGATATTTTTTAGAAAGGCTATTGCTTTCATACTGTTTCTAACATGAAAAATGCTACCTTTTTTGGCTAATACAAAGAAACCACAATTAACAGTGAAACCATAAATACTTTCTGTGTTAACCACAAATGGCCTTTCCCATAGAGAAATGGCTTACATGTGTTCTAAATGTGTTTGGTTTCGTTTTGTATGGAAGGAGCTGTGGGTATGTTTTTATCTAAGAAAAGAATATGGCATGCACATGCACAACTTTCTAAAATGAGAAACACTCATTGAATTTAATCGGAGTTTCGTCTGGGGCGGAAATTCAGAATTAAGCTCCATGGGTGATGATTTTGGATTATCTGGACAGGACTTCAGGATCTACTTGCCAAACTTTCTTGGACTCTTAGTGCAACACGAGTCAGAAGGGACCTTCGCCTGTGTCCTATTATTGTAAGTGGTGTAACTATGGGCCGATCTCACCAGGCATAGCCTTCACACACTTTCACTTTATCAGTTTCGTTTGAGTCAGTCCCATACACAACTGTCCACTGCTCGTGACTCTGCTCTGCTTGAGTCCTTTGTGTGTGCCTGTGTGTGTGTAACAGTACCTCATTTCTTCAGTATTTCACATCCTGTGAACATCAGGAAGTCTATGGAAATCTACATATGTTGATGTTTATAATCATTTTTCTATTTAAATATAACATGTGCCGGGTCATCTTTATAAATGTTGGCAACACTCTGAGAATACATAAGAAAGAGGAAGTTCCTTTCAAAAATGTGACCTTTGCTCACTTGTATTACTGAGTCTCCTTGGAAAAGGTCTAAATGGAAATTAAACCAAATTTTTGTTTTGTGGTTTTTCAGTGGTCATATATAAAATTAAAAAATGAGGAAATCAAATTTAACAAATGAACAAATCAGGATTTGTTCAGAATACTCTCTTCCCAATTGAATTTATACCCACAAAATAGCACATCTAAGCAAAAAGATTTCCCCCATAGAAAGCATTTTTTAGAAAACTTTCTGTAAATATGTATCCCACTAAAGATTCATCTAGTCCTCTGTTATCTTAATAAGCTATAGAAGTACTCCAAAGAACAAAAAGGCAGCCTTCTTATCATTTGCAAGCTTAAGACAATAAACTGAACAATTGTTTTCTCATTTTGTTTACTTTGTATGTGCTAAGATAATTACTAATTTTAAAAGAAGAAAACTATAATCTTTGTGGCCCTGTAAATTATTTGACTTTTAAAAAGCTAAGTATTCATAGCATTGAAACTACTTTTTTTAAGAAGAAAACATTCAGTTCAGAAATAATAATAAAACCCTTGTTTGACATCATGTAGACAAATCTATTAATTGACCTATGAATTTATTGCTTTTTTGTGAATTTGTGATTAATTTGAATATGGTTGTAAGTAATGCTAATGATCTGTGATTCAAAATTAGGGTTATTTTGGTTGGTTGGTTGATTTGTTTTCATGAGGATGAAGCCTGGGAATGTGTGGAGGCATCAGTGGGGGTGGGTCACCTTGCCTAGAGGGAGATGTAATGGAATTATCCACAGCTATAGGTCTTTTTATACCAGAGTAACTGTCCATTTACCCCCTTATGTTGAGCTATTAAATATACATAATAAAACTTGGAAAGTCTTTTATTTTGCTTTCACCCAATTACCTTTTTAAAAATGGATTCAAATATATATAGTCAAAAAACCAGTATTAGTCTTTGGTATGTAAGCTTCTCTATTTGTAACTAAGATAGCTACCTATATTTAAAATATTGTCAGATATATACCACTAAAAGGGCAAGTATCATGAGATATACTCTTATTTTGATTACAGTTTAAAACTTGATTACAGTTAAAAACCTAAAATACGTTCTTTAAGAGAATTTTCAGTATTTGGGGAATGAATGGCCACCATGGGTGAATGTTGAGAATTCTTTTGAAAGGAAATTTCTTACATTCGTTTTATAAATCAGGTGAACACAAAAGATAAGAGTGTATGTTTTTAATACATACAGTTTGATTACAGTTAAAAACTTCAGACAAGGTACCTAAAAGGTAAAAGGTACATAAAAGGTACAAGGTACATAAAAATAAAATCTTAAACTAAGGAGATAAACCATAAACACTTTTGGCTAATCCTAAGGTGTTTCTTAAAAAGAAACTTTAAGGTGATTCTTTTAAAATCCTAGAAATAATCTTAGTATAAGATGGTGTTATAAGATATTAGAAAACTTAAAAGCTGTCTTATTACACCACCTTATACTTCTCAATATATTTCCATTTACCTTTCCATCTGCAATATTAACAAAAGAAAACAAATATAAGTGCACCACCTATAATCAAGACCATTGTTACTATCACATGAATATTAAAGCAATAATGTCTTGCAAACAGCATCAGTCTTATAAATGAAGTCTTGAAAACACACTCTCATCTTTTGCATTCACTTGATTTATAAAATGAATGTAAGAAATTTTCTTTCAAAAGAATTCTCAACATTCACCCATGGTTGCCATTCATTTCCCAAATACTGAAAATTCTCATAAAGAACACATTTTAGGTTTATTGTCCACCTCATCTGATGCTTCTTAAAGTGAGGTCTACGAACCACTTACATCACAATTTATTTCTGAAACTTGTTAAAATGCAGATCGGAATCTCTGAGGTGGGGCCTGGGAATATTCATTAACCATCCCTGAAGGGCTTCTGACACGTTCTGATGTTGGAAATGCCTTCAAATGGCAGCTTCAGGAGCACAGGGCCTTATTAACCTATCTGCCCCCTGCACCTGGACCTGGACCTGGCACAGAAGTGCACTGAGCAGAATGCAGTTGAGATGCATAACTGGCCTCCTGCCTGGATTACCTGAGACCGTAGCAGTCCTTCTCAGCTCACAGCTGGTCAGGGTGGCTGCCCGCATGCTCAAGTTCCCCACAGCATGCACCACACACCCAGTGGGATGGGATGCACGGGCATGCATGGGCACCGAGGAACCCTTGCTTTGTGTGTTACTGAACTGACCTGACGTTCTAACCAGAAGATAAATTCTTGCAGGAGAAAGTTTTGTTTTGTTTCTGTTGCTCATTAAACATTCATTGTATAAGTGTTTATTGAGCATGTACTCCATGCCAAATGCCATGTTTAGAACTGATATGGAGCAAGAATAAAATAGACATATTTCTAGACCACTGGAAACCCCTTGAGTCCTGGAATGGTTCTCAGCAGGGATAATCTCATACCTAAGTGGCAATTTAGACATGTGTGTACTTCCATCTACTAGAATAGTAGTGTCAGAGCATTTACAGCTTACATACATAGTATCTCCTTATATACATCCCTTTTGTATTTCTTATATATTACAGTTACAACCTCATAGATCCTCTTTCAATGATGTGCACAAGTAGGTAAGTATTATCTGTTAATTTCATTTAAGATTACTATATTGGGCATCATAAAATATATTTTTGTAATGGATAATTGGGTATAATATGGTTGAAAACCATTAACTTGGTGACTTTTTTAATCTTAACTTGGAGATTTCCTTAGCACTAACCAGAGAGATATTTACAAAGTATTTATAAAAACACGTAACTTAATGGATTAAGTAATATAATTTCACTGGTGACCTCTTGACTGTGCTGTAAACTTTCCTTTAGTCAATAAAAGCTTTCACATAGTTCTCAGATATATGCATTAGTGGTCTGTAGTTTAATACCATGTCTCCTCGACTAGGTGACCAAGAGGTTTCATGGTTTGTCAGCTAATTAAGTTAACTATGGCCAGCACTTACTATATCACCCTAAGAACATTCTGACCAACTATGTGGTGATCATTCTCTAAATGACTTTTTACATTCCAAAGAAGCAAGCAAAACTTACAAAAAAACGTAGGCGAGATTTATCCCACAAGGAACACATATACTTGATATTTTCTTACAGTTAAAGGACAAAGAAAAGAAATGAAAATTACTCAGACGCTATTAAAAAGCAATAATAATTCTATAGCTTGGGAGCTCTTTTCTTCATTGAATTCTAAATCACAGAGACACTAACAAAGTTCTACTTTCTTTATATAAATGATAATTACTGCAATATCTGTAATTACGTATCTTACTCTGGCTTACACTGACGCTGAAACAACAGCAACTGATACAGCCCTTGTATTTGTAATTCAGGTGTAGCAGGAGTAATCAGTCTTTGGCATTAGAAAATATGCTTTATCAGGAAATGAAGAAGCAAAAATGACACCAAATGATGACAAAGGAATGACCCAGAGTAGTTCCACTGAGCTTTTATCACCATACTGTGTGAAGACCGTCACTGTACAAGGAATGGCTCTTCTCAGCTAAGCCCTCCCCGTCGAGTCAAACTTGTGTTTCCCTTTTAATGAGAAGTAACCACCAAGATGCCTATTACTTAGCTTGCCAGAATGACTACAGATTTATAGGAAAGAGGTAAAAGTAAACACAAACAATTTAAAATGCATTAAGTAAGAAATGCCTTCTTGAACTAAACTATGTTGTACATGTTATCAAAAATGACAGAAAATATTTGTAAATCTTATATTTTCCTTTCTACAAGAGAAGTGGTACCCATGTCACTCAGTTCAGCAGTGCAAACAGTTGAATGCAATGGAAAACTCTTAAAAGTACTGAGTAGCTTTTACTAAACTAAGAGTTCTTGAACGTCAAAAAAAAAAAAGGGGGGGTCGTATGAAATGCATCATTTTCTTAAAATTATTTTTTCAAGACTTTTGATCACCTGGGCCACAATCAATGTACTCTATGCATTGATGTAACCATCTCTTCATTCAACCAGTAGAAAGCAGAAACAATGGATGTAATGTGTTAAGACAAAGGCCTAAGACATGTTAGGCCATAAACATGTACATATGTGAAGTGCAGAGTTATTCCCTTTCAAAGGATGATGTGGAACACAAGACAAACTCCTACGTGGTATGCAGTAGTGTCTGAGCCTTGCAGATGCAGAGTGCTCAGGATTCTGCAGTATTTGATTGATTTTCATTTATTGCAATACCTCCTTCTACAGCTATTGTTTTTAGTCCAAGCTCTGATACAAAAGAGCTGCAACTCAGGAGGAACAGATATTATGGAGAGCTTCAGAGCTACTTACTCCTTGTCAGAACAGTGAAGAGAACTAGAAAACTTTGGAAATCTATAAACCAGAGAGTACCATCTCAGTACAGCCCACAATTCTCTCTGCTTCATCCCAAGATTTCCAACCCATTCCTTTTCCTTCTTTCCTCAGGAGGATAATGGAAGAAAAATAGCTTATGTATTTCCATGTGAGTATCCCCAAAAGAGAAACAAGGAGTAAATGAGAAGTAGTCATAATTATCTGCCTCATTCCATCCCCAACTGTAATCCTCCTGACCCCAGAGACAGAATGCACATGGATTTAATTGGGATCCCAGGACACACACACAAAAAAAGGCTCATCAAAAAAGATCATGCTCTCAGGTCTTAGCATTCATACCTACCACAGAGCCCTGCTGAAGGGGCAGAGTGACTGCTGGCTGGCAGTGTGTTTGAGGGACCTAATCCAGGTTAAACTGTGTGTGCTGTGATGAGCAGTTTCACAAAGACGTCCTCACTCCTCAGAACTCATGTAGTCCTGCAGGTTCACAGGAAAAATGTCAAAAAGGCAATTGCCACATCCAGCATTTAACAAAATCATATTGGTTTTCACTATTTAGCTATAAACAGTCACTAAGGCTTTAAGCCCTTCATTCTTTCTCTTTACCTCCTACCACTTTCTCACTGTTGATAGTGGACATTCTAATCAGAATATATCTTTCACACGTCAGCTTAAATCACTTCTGTAGGGTGGCATCCCCAACTCACACCATCGAAATGACTCCCCTGTCATAAACCCTGCACTCTCTCTTTTATAACACTTGTTACACCTGTATTCAAAGTTTATCTTTTCTGGGAGGGCAATCCCAGCACTTTGGGAGGCTGAGGTGGGAGGGTCACTTAAGGCCAGGAGTTCGAACTCCGTTTCGAATCGGCTGGGCAAAGGAGTGACGACCCATCTCTACCAAAAAATTTAAAAAATTAGTGGGTGTGGTGGCACATGCCTACAGTCCTAGCTACGCAGGAGCTCCAGCAGGAGGGTCACTTGAACACAGGGGTTTGAGGGTACAATGAGCTATGATCACATCACTGCACTCCAGCCTGGGCAACAGAGTGAACCCTGTCATGAAA